TTGAGACGGAGTTTCACTCTTGTTGTCCAGGATGGAGGGCAATGGAGTGATGTTAGCTCACTGAAACCTCTGCTTCCTGGGTTCAAGTGATTCTCCTGCGTCAGTCTCCTAAGTAGCTGGGATTACAGGTGCTCGCCACCAGGCTGGCTAACTTTTCTATTTTTAGTAGAGATGAGGTTTTGCCATGTTGGCCAGGCTAGTTTTGATGTTCATTAGATTCAGCTGGTTGATGGTGTTAAATTCAACTATGTCCTTATCGGTTTTTCTGTCAATTAGTGCTTGCTAGTTTCTGTCAATTTCTGCTTGCTATTTCTGTCCATTAGTGATAGAGGGGTGTTGAAGTCTCCAATTATGATACTGGATTCATCTATTTCTCATTGCAGTTCTACTGGTTTTGCCTCACATACTCTGTTAAGTGCATTGGTCAAATAAATAGTTGAGAATGAGGTTTTCAACGAGCTCTAGCGTTGTTTTCTCTGGTGGCTGCTAGGCTGCAACAGGAATGTCGGCTGTAGTTAGTTTACTACAGCTGGACAGTGAGAAATGCAACTAATCCAAGTTAAAACATGACCAAGGCTGTTGTTCTTAGGGAGATTTAACAGTTTTTCTTGAATAAATGCTCCTGAGGTTGCTGACAGCCTTTAATTTTCAGACTTCTGTTACAGTCAAGTTAGAAAATTTGCCAGTTTTATCACAGCTCTTATTAATGAGCTAATTTTTGAAGTCATTACTCTGCCATTTTCACTGACATCATTTAGCAAAAGCTTTTTGACCATTTGTGCTTTAAAGATGAAAATTTATGTTGGTTTCCATGAAGGGATTAAAAAAAGGTGAAAATTTAATTTTTCTTAAAGGTAATGAGAAACACTAAGATTAAATTACTATTTTCTCAATGAAAACACATGGACACAAAGAGGGAACAGACACTAGGGCCTACTTGAGGGTTGGAGGGTGGCAGGAGGAACATGTTCAAAAAACCACCTATTGGGTACCACGCTTATTACCTGGGTAATGAAATAATCCGTACACTAACCCCTTATGGCCTGAAGTTTACTTACGTAACAAACCTGCACATGTTCTCTTGAACCTAAAATGTCTTAAAAAATTAGTTTCCGATTAAGGAAATACTACTTCAGCCTGTATTACAATTCTCATTAAGACAGTAGACAGGTGGGAAATGAGACAACCACAAGGAAATGAGAAGTAACACAAAAAGAGGGATGAAGCAGACAGATGGACACATTTTGAGTGCTGGAGAGGGAGAGATGGAGAACCGATTTAGAATGAAGAGCACTATGTATCAGCATTTTTTCTTTATCTTAAAAGTAGTCACCAGCCAAGCTTTCTTATATTTTTTCAGATTAGGATGCGCTTTGGAAGGGATGAGCACAGTAGCACACCAGAGAAGGGTCTGGTGCTACATTTTTCTGGAGACCGGGGTAGGGGAAGAGGTTGGTGTTCCACCTTTGGAAAACAGCAGATCCTACAACCAGAAAATCAGTAGCACTGCCAAGCAAGAACTTTCCAACTCAAAATACATGTTTGCTGTCCAGTTTTATATCTGGACTACCCACACTATAAGGGTACCACAAAATGGGAAGGAACAGGAATAAAGGAAAGGCTACCAAGCATACCCATTGAAAAACTGAAAACAGCAACAAATCTGTTGGCATCATTTTTAGCAAACCGGGGAAACGGAACCCCAACTGTCCTCCTCCAAATGGCAGCGAATACTGCCTCATCCCAGAGGTAGGGCTTTGCCACGTGATTTGTTATGGCCAGTGGAGTGTTGGCAGATGTGATGCACACAGAAGGCACGAACCATACTTGTGTGGTTGGGCTTGCCTTCTTATGTTTCTATGATCAGTGTGGAAACTTCTGTATAACTTTTGTATTTCAGCCCAGGCCCAAGGATGAACATAGATGGAGCAGGTGGAAGCACAACTCATAGCAGGTAGAAAAGCCCAGCCAGAGACCTAGCTTGAAGTAGTCACCCAAATAAGCTATGTCAGCCAATCTGCAGAGGCATGAGTAAGAATGAATATTTCAAGCAACTGAGATTTGGGGTGGCTAGGTGGAAACAGCAACTGAAACATAAGTAGATGTCATTCTTTTAGGATCCACTCCTGAGAGCAAACTATGTTACCTCCCCCTTTACCGCTGTATGCCGAGAAGCTAGCACAGTTCCTGGCACAGAGGAGGTGTTCAGTAAACAACTGTTGCAGACAGATTTACATGTTTCTTCTAAAAATAGCCTAGGAGAATAAAACTGAGGGAAACTTACATAATTTAGTGTTCAGTGTGTGTCTCAACTTCAAAATCAACAATTTGTACAAAGACCAGAAAGCATGTCAGCAGTCATTAGGGGGTAAGAGCACTATGAACATGACTGGCTGGATTTGAATCTAGGCTTCACAAATTACCAGCCAGGTCACCTTGGCCAAATGTCACGTCATTTCCCTCTCTTTCCTCATCTTTTAAATGGTGCTATAAATAGTACCTACCACATGGAACAGTTGTGTGGATTAAGAGATAATTTCAAGTACTTACAACCTTGGCTGGTACATGATAAATGCTGTATAGGCATTTTCTATTATTACCTGCATAAAGACCATTTTGAGAAAGGTTATTAAAGCTGTCTTAATCTGTTCCTCCAATCACCTATTTATATCTATTTGTTATCATTTCTGTTATCTAATCTTGTACATGCTTCCAATTAGCTCCTTTGTGTATTTTCATCATCTTTCTATGCTCAGGATTGCTAAGTGCTGATACCCACTCTATCCCAAAGCACCCCTCCACCAACTATTTTAAGAACTGCTGATTTTGTTCTTTTCACATAGGATATCATGTGCCCCCTTCTCCATCTGTTCAAATCATATCTGATTCTCAATGTCTAGACCTAGTCTTCCATGATGCCTGTTCTGATCTTCCCTCCCAATGTGGTCTTATTCTGTACCTTTTAGCAATTCATCTCTACCTCAATTACACTTTTATTACTTTCTACTTATACCTTTCCACAATAAAATTGCCAATTCCTGAAGGACAAGATCACAATTTCTTGGTTTTCTGCCCATTCCCACTCCCAAATATACAGCAGGCAAGCAATATCTGTTGAATAAATATATTTGAAAATCCCATATAGACAGGTTCATTTAAAGTCTAAAACAGCTTTACTAAAACGCCATTTTTTTTTATTAAAAAAAGGAAAAAACTAGTCACAATTGATGCTAGACAGTTTAAGGGAAAAGAATTTTGCATGTAAAAGAGGCAGACAATTTATTGCATTAAAAAAACTTTATTTCTTTTAAAAGGTGCAATATAAGCCAAATTAACCCCCAAATTTACAGCTACACTTAGAGATCTCCTGAACTAAATGGCACTGAGTTGAGTGTCTTGTTAAAGGAGGTCATTTGCTATTACCACCATTTCCCCCAAAGTACTTCTAGAGCTGGTACTGTATAATACACATCAGATATTTCAGATGTCATCTTTCATGCAGAATTTAAATTAAGCAAACAGGCTTTTCTACTCTGTGTGAGGATAAGAAACACTACAGAACAGGGCCTGAATGCTTTAGACATACAAGGTGTAACCATAAAGGAAATTTCTACGGCTCTGTGTTCGTTCATTGAAGTAGTTCATGTACTTATTCCAACAATACTGGTGGTGGTCAGACACCATTTGAGACAGTACTTTGGGGTTTCCCTTCATTGGATGCAGACCAAAGGAACTGGTTAAGTTGGGCGGGGGGGAGCAGTGGCAACTCTCACAGATGGACTACAAAAGTAATGAAAAAGATTTTAGTGGGCTGGCATTCGCAAGAACTACCTCAATGTTTTTGGTAACAGCATCATTTACATATAAAGTGATGCAGGATAAAAGTTCTGGTATATGTGATAAAAACAGCTTGTCACTTTATAGCTACACCTTGGATTTCATTAGATGTGGCAAATCTAATAGTGTGTCAAATAAGTCCTTCTGGAAATCACTTCAGCAGAGAAGTCAAACAGCCTGTAAAAGAGAAGACATGGCAGAATGTGCGTGATTCATCCTTCCAACATTCTCAGGGTTCTCATGGAGGACAGACCCAGGCCCAAAGACAGAAGTTACCAGGAGAGAGGCTTCAACTCCATCTAAGGAAGACCTTTCTAACAGTTAGAGCTGCTCAACAACTGAATGGACTGCTTGGTGAGGTAGAGTCACTTGGAAGTGTTCAAGGTGGAAAGATCACCCTTGTAGAAGGGACTCCTGCATTTGTTAAGAGGTTAGAGAGTGGATGAACCTCAGGTCTCTTTCAATTCTGAGATTCTAGAAAATTCCCTCAGGGAATTCAGAAGAGAATTCCTAAAAGGAAAGAGAAAGCACACATATGTATACTTTTAGAATCTGCTTGAATTTTTTTTTTTAAAGGTACAATAGAAAATGTAGTCCACTATCATTAAAATGCATATTTACCTTCCTACTACTAATAATCAGGAAGGGTTCATTATGACTTCTTTATATTATAAAGAAAAGATGGGGGTTTGGTTTATAATTTCTGTGAATATTTTAGAAAAAATGCTTAAAATCTAGTAGTCAATGCCCTAGAAACTTTATAGATTTGTAGATAATATGCACAGATACAAATACATTATTCATTAAATACAACTCACATCTGTTTTATTATACTCTAAAATATACAGGAATCTTGATGTACTGAAAGAGTGCAAGTAAATACAGTATTCAAGCAGTCACTATTTCTATGTACATGCTCGTTAATTCTTCAAAAAACCCACAAAATTATCAAATAGATCAAAATACTGTTCTGTGTTTTCACAATTTATATTCAGAAAAACCAGCTGATAATTTACAATGTCATATAAGTTTCCAGTTTCACAATACAAAAAGGATAAAATGAAATTGGGTATCATTTTGTTGCAATTTATAGAATTTCACCCATACCTGTAAGACCGTCAATGTATATGAAATCATTTTCACTGGGAAAGTGACAGAGTAATTGTCAACCACAGAAATTGTTACTTAAAAGCGGAAATATCAGCCTTCTCTCTCTCTTTTGCTATTTGAAAGGTAGTCTTCAATTTGGCAGGCAATTGCTTCTCTCACCAAATAGTAATTGGTTACAAACATGCTACCTTAAATATGAATAGGACCTAAGGCTTTAATATTTTAAATCTTGCCCAGTACAGAAGTGCTTTCCAAGAGACTTAGTGATGTTTAACTTATGAACAACAAGGGATGATTTTCCTTTTGATTATTCACTTTTTCAAAACTCATAGATCAGAATAAACAAAAAAATCTCCCAAGTCATGGTGGGGACACAAAAGTAATATAAGTGACTAAGGTGTGCCATTCAAAGTAGAGAGGCTGAAGACTCCAGGCCCGAGGACCACTACTATAGTTGCAATAGGGTGAAATAATCTACTTTGGATTTCATGAATTTTTTTTCTAGGAAATTTACATTTTTAAACAAAAATAGTACTATTTTAAACCCAAACCATTCAACACAGGGCAAGAGCCTGACCCCAATCCATCTCTGTCTGTCACAAGTATTTTCACCTGTACTGCACCCAGTCAGCTGGTTTTTAGTTCTAATAGTATAAAAGTTGGAAATTTGAAATTTTTATGTAAAAGAAAAAAATGTAAAAATACATCTGCTTTCTCTCATGGTTTAATACAGCATTGGAAGGCTTTCAGATGTTTTCTTAAAAACAAAAACAAAAAACCCAACATTTAAAATCAAATCTCAGCTTCATTTCCAGAAATATTGCAGTTTGGTTTAGGTAATGTTTCATTTCATCTACTCCAGTTTCCACAAAACGGCATTTTATTTAAAAAACCTTTCCATTATTTGGTCCTTTTGCAATTTGCTGTGCACATAATGCCTACTGTACCAAACTTTTATTGCCTTTAAATTTAGTTGTAATTTTATTGATAAAATTTAAATCTAGTGTCCTTATTTCTTCTGTTACAATAGTGTTGCTTGTGTAAGCAGGTTAGAGTGCACAGTGTCTCCAATTATTCCTGGCACTGCAAAACCAAATTAAACAATTCCACAAAGAATTCTGACAATGTGTTTTCCTCAGTCAAGTCTATTTCAAGATTCTAGAAGTTCCTTTTGTAAAACTTGCCTTTGAAACTCTTCCTCCTTAATGTCATCACATCTCTTAACGTTGGCTCACTGTGCGATCTTTCCTCTTAGGTTGAATTTGTACGTGAATATGAAAGTGCCTTTTTTCCTGAAAAAGCACAGTTGGAAGCTTTAGTGTGAGAACTCCCTTCTCCTCAGCCTCTCAGTAGGTCTCAGAATCGGAGTCGTTGAGCTCATCCACATCAGTGTATAAGTACTCCTGTTCCCCGCCAATGTTATTGAAACTGCAATAGGAGCTAGGTTCATTCCTCATGATGGGCAAAGCTTCAAAGCTGACTGTTTTTGAGGTGTTGGTATAACGGTTAATGGCATTGAATGTCAAAGATGATAAAGGACTACTTGATGAGACAGGCATCATGGTGGCCAAAATGAGAGCCAGGCAATCAGCCACATCCTTATTGGGAGCACAGGCCAAAGCTGGGGTATAGCCTAAAATTAAAGATAAAATTTAAAAATTAAACATCCTGAGATGTATTTCACTAAAGATAAGGAAATAAGTCTAAAGTACTTCAACTTTGGATATATTTTACATTACTTAGCTTATAATAAATTGCTGTAACCAGGATAATTTGCAAATTTCTAATAAGTAGGAAAAAAAATAGCCATAGAAACCTAGGGTGGAAGGAGATGTTATGGAATAGATAACAGAGGAGGAAACAGGCCCAGAAAAGAATTTTTCCCAGGATCTCACAACTTATCCATATCCATCTGAATTCATAGAAGAAACTGGGCTAGAATAAGAAAAACATCATAGATCAGTGAATCTTCTTTCAGGATGGTAAACAGAGATTTACTCTTAATTTGTAGTTACGTCAGTGTCAAGAATAGAAAAAATAAAAACCAATTTGTAGTTATGTAAGTAAGCTTATTAGATGCTAAGAAATCGAAATGTGTGCACTTCATGAATGAAACAGGGCAGGTGCTCAAAAATATGTGTTGAATGAATGACACTGGTTGTCAATTTAACTTTTGTTTTCGGGTCATAATCTCTTGAAAAACAGTAGAAAAACTGAACAGATGAACTTTAAACACTGCTAAATCAAGTATTTCCTTTGTAAATATTCTCTTTTTTTAAGTGGAAGACAATGGACGTCAGGCAAAAAGTCCCACCAAGTGTCAACACAGCAAACTAAGGAGGAAACATTTGGTACCTCACTTGGTACAAGACTCAGTCTTGAGGATGGAGTGGGAGAGAAGTGAATACATAGTGTGATGCCAAGGTTCAATTATACCATGTGGAACTCTAATGGTTTGTCACAAAGCATACAATTGTATAACCACCATACAGGTTAAGAAAGAGAACACTACCAGCATACCAGGCTTCCACATATCCTCTACCCAATCATTACACTTTTCTTCTTCCACAATGGTACCCACTATCCTAACTTACGGAGTAGTTATTTCCTGGCTTTCAACTTGGAGTCATAAACACTACAGTTTCGTTTTCTTTTTTTTCTTTTTTTGAGACCAAGTCTTGCTTGGTCACACAGGCTGGAGTGCAGTGGTATGAACTTGGATCACTGCAACCTGTACTCCCTGGGCTGAAGTGATTCTCCTGCCTCAGCCTCCTGACTAGCTGGGATTACAGGTGTGTGCCAAAACACCCAGCTAATTTTTTATATTTTTAGTAGAGATGAGGTTTCACTATGTTGGCCAGGCTGGTCTTGAGCTCCTGGCCTCAAGTCATCTGCCCGCCTTGGCCACCCAAAGTGCTGAGATTACAGGTGTGAGCCCACCTTACCCAGCCTACAGTTTAGACTTTTTAAAAAACCTAATATAAATGGAATCATGTAGTATATATTATTTCATATCTGGCTTTTTTGTGTAGTATGAGGTGAGATTTATCAATGTTGTTGTATGTAACTGTAGTTGGTTCATTTTCATTTTTATACAGTATTTCATTGTGTGATTATACCATGGTTTAGTTATACACTTCAACTGGGCATGTGGCTGCTTCCACTTCTCCTACATATTTTCATCTATGCTTTATTAGCCTTGATAAAGTTTTTTTTTTTTTTTCCTATAGACAGGGTCTTGTTCTGTCACCCAGGCTGGAGTACAGTGGAATGATCATGCTGACTGCAGCCTCAACCTCTGGGCTTAAGTGACCCTCCTACTTCAGCTTCCTGAGTAGCTGGGATTATAGGCACATGCCATGCCTGGCTAATTTTTAAAATTGTTTTGTAGATACAGGGTCTCTCTTTGTTGCCCAGGCTGGTCTCAAACTGCTGGCTTTAAGTAAGTGATCTTCCTGCCTCTGCCTCCCAGAGTGCTGGGATTACAAAAGGGAGCCACTGTGCCCAGCCAGAAAAAGTAATTTTTCCCCCCTTTGTAAAGTTCCCATTTTGTTAAGGGTCAAAGGGAACAACTGATGTCCTTGCAAGTTTGGCAGCAGTGGCTGATGGCTATCCATATTTTTAAATTACATTTTATTTGTCCAAAGTAACTAAGGGAGTGCTTCACTGCCCACACTTCTTTCGAGGGTTCTTCTGAAGGTGCCTGCTGCTGCTGTTCCTGCTGCTGGCAGACAGAACAATTCATTACATAGGCCAGGATGCCTTGGATGGGAGTGGGGGTGGGAAAGAAGCATGTTTCAGGTGCATTTTCTAGTCAGAATATGACTAAAAACAGGCTCCTCTGGCTGGAGGGGTCATCCTTTTTTTTTTTTTTTGAGACAGTCTTGCTCTGTCGCCCAGGCTGGAGAGGAGTGGCTGATCTCAGTTCGCTGCAACCTCTGCCTCCTGGGTTCAAGCGATTCTCCTGCCTCAGCCTCCCGAGTAGCTGGGATTACAGATGCGTGCCACCACGCCAGCTAATTTTTGTATTTTTAGTAGAGATGGGGTTTTGCCATGTTGGCCAGGCTGGTCTTGAACTCCTGACATCAGGTAATCCACCCGCCTTAGCCTCCCAAACTTGTGGGATTACAGGCGTAAGCCATCGTGCTCGGCCCGGTTATATCTCTTGACAAGTCACTTCCTTTGCTTAGAAAGTTCCTTCCCCACTTTCTACTTGTCCTTTGGATTTTTGGCTTAGGAGTCACATTTTTTGGGATGCCTCTCTGATCCTCCAAGAAAGCATCTGAAGACCCTGTTAAGTACTCTCATAGTATTCTATACTTGTTCCAATTAAACTATTTTAAGTGCATCATTAACAGCCTGTTACGCTCATCTCCATTCAAGGGAGTAGACTATGTCTTATTTTATATACTATATCTTCAGAAGTTAGTACAGTGCTTGGCATAATCACTCATGCAGCAAATATTCACTGAGCCTCCCCTTGCTCAGGCATTATTCAAAACACTGAGAATATATCAGTGAATGCAACTGACAAACATTTCGCTGTTCTTGTGGAGCTTACATTCATTTTAGTGGGGAAGACACACAACATAAAAAAAGTACATTATATACATTATGTTAGAAGCTTTATGTAAAAAGAGGAAAGACTAGAGCAGGTTAACAAGGATTGAGAATGCTGTGGTGGGGGTATCTAGCAAGTTGTAGTACAACATAATAGTCAGAATATGCTTCATTGAGAAAATGAAATTGGAGCTAAGATTTGAAACAGTTGATGGTTTTAGTCAAGGAATGTTTGGGGACAGAGTGTTCAGCCAGAGTAAAGAGCCAGAATATGGATCACAATGCATGTACAACCCTGCTTTGGATGGGCTGGCATGGCAGAATGAAGTGAGGGAAAGAATAAGAATAGGATATATCAGAAAGGTAATAAAGTGGAAGACACATCACATAGGGTCTAGTAAGGTCATTTTAAGAACTATAAGTGGGGCGAGGTGGATGGCTCATTCCTGTAATCCCAGCACTCTGGAGGCTGAGGTGGGGGGATTGCTTGAGGCCAGGAGTTCAAGACCAGCCTGGACAGTATAGTGAGACTCTATCACTACGAAAAAATAAATTAGCTGGGCATGGTGGTGCATACTTGGAAGGCTGAGGTGAGAGGTTCTCTTGAGCCCAGGAGTTCAAAGTTATATAATCAGCTATGATCTCACCAGTGTACTCCAGTCTAGGCAACAGAG